CGCGCACCTGGCGCCGCCCGAGCTGCTGCTGTTGGCGCTCGGCGCGCTCGGCTGGACGGCGCTGCGCTCGGTGGCCACCGCGCGCCTCTTTCGGGTCAGTGCTGTTGGGGGCCGGGACGCGGGGGCCCTGGGCTGGAGAGTTGGGATATTAGGGGGCCCCGGCCCGGGGGATCCCGGGCCGCTCTGTGGGGGCTGGGGTCACTGAAACATGGGGGGTCTCGGGCTGGAGGAGCTCGGCCGCGGAATCCTGGGTCCCCGCGCTCCCCTTTCGGTCAGTGCGGGGTGGGGGTGGGGGTGGATGTGGGGGTGTGGCCGAGCTGGGGGAAGCCCAGAAAGTGAAGACCCTGATACGAGTAGGGTGTTGGAGATGTGGGAGAACTGGGGCTGAGCCATTCCGGTCAATGCCGAATAAGGGGGCCCTGGGCAGTCAGAGGGCCCGTTCCGCCGCGCACTCTTTCGGGCAGGGCCGAGCCGGCGACGGAGGAATGCAGGCGGGGAGGGCTCGGCGCATAGGGGCCGCCTGCACCTTGGGCTTCTGGGCCCTGCGGGTGGCGCTCGGAACCGGAGCGGGACCTGGGTCCGTGCGGCGGCGGCGGCGGGGCCGACTGTCCGCTGCTATCCGGAAGAGGCAGGAGCTGCCCGGTCGCTGCTTCGCGCCTGTCTGGAGTCAGCGCCACCTTCCGACCAAGGGAGACAAAGGCTTGAGCTCCCCGGCCACCCCAGTGATCGTAGCCTTGGGGAGGTGGGACGGCCTGGGTCTTCGGAGCTGGACTGTGCTGCCTCCAAGGGGCCGCGACCGAATTCCCAGCGAGCCCGGGGAGGCCAGCGCCCCGGCCAGAGAGTGACCACGGGGCTGACATTGGCGCCTGGTCTTCATCCCATACTTGAGGAGTGGTCTGCTGTGGCAGCTGCTATGAGTGCTGCTGGGAAGGCGTTTGGGCTCCTAGCTTGGCTGCGATTCCCCCGCGGACCGACCGGCTGGGGCACCCCACCCCAGTCTGGCTGGAGGTGGCAGGGGGTGCAGGGACAGAGCGCCCGGCCCCAACAAAGGGGCCTTTCTCTGTTGGCCGGGAAGAGGCGGGCCCTTGTTAAGTCGGGGATGGGATGTGGTCTGGCTGCCCTTGTCCCCACCCCCATCCCCATATCACTCACGTGGCGAAGGGATCCTGGCCACCACCCTGCTCCCGGGAATGGGAGGCAGGCATGACGAGGGTCTCTCCATAGGTCAGCCATGGTCCCAATCTGGCTTTGTTACTCCCCCATCTTCCCAGTTTCCAGTTGGGAAGGGCGAGGTCCAGGAGGACAAAGGGCAGAGCTCGGGAGAGGGATGTGGTCACTCTGGGATTACCAGGGTAGAGTGGGCTCTCTTCTCATGTTCCTGAGGAAGCTGGGTGTGGGAGAGCAAAACCACGTGCTCCCTCGCTTTTGGAATCCCCAGAGGTCAGGCTGTTGCCCCTGGTCCTCCTTCCGAAGCTCTGGTGGGGCTCTTGCCCCAATTCGAGACTCGCCCTTCCCAAGAAACCGGCAGAGGGGCTGCCCCGGCCTCCAAAGCTCATCTTCTTGGCAGCGGACTGGTTGCCAAGGGTTATGAGCTGGCTCTGGCTGTCTCCATGGCAACTGTTGGTGCTCCAGCTCCCTCAGCCTCTCCTGCTGAGGGAAGGGGCAGGGCTTGGCTGGCAGCTCTGGAGCCCCTCCCCCAGGGTCTTGGGCCCCTCAAATTCCTCTCTGCCTCACATTGCAGGCTGCACTTCCCCTGGTGTCCTCCCTGATGTCCCCAGAGGTCCCCCCATCTCCTGTGACATCTGCTCCCTGACCCCCCTTTTTCCTTTTAGCCCAATTCTCGCCTCCTTTGTCCCCCCACGTTTCCATGTCCTCCCCTACTTACTCACCCCATCTTCTCCAGCCCCCTGGTCTTCCCTGGTATCCCCAAATTCTTCCGAGGCACCCCCTTCCCCTCAAGTTTCTCCCCCATGGGGATCACTTGGGGTTCCAGCCCCCTGCATCCCCCACATGCCCCGTATTCTGTTCCATGTTCTCTTCCCTAGTTCATCCTACAGCCCCTCCGTGTCTTCTCTTTGATCTGCCCCCCTCTTTGTTACACTCTCAGCTACCCCTGTGACTCCCAAGCCTCTGACTCCCCTGGGCTGACCGCCTTAGTCTTCCTTGCTTTTTGTCCCCCATGCTCCCTCCTGGCCCTCACAGCCTGCCTTCACATTCCCCTCAGGTCCCCCCCTTCACTCCCCTCCCCATACCGCCGCCGGACAGCTGGGCACTAAGTTTAGCCCTTGGCAGGCCCACGTGGGCTCTGGTTATGCTCCAGGCGGCTGTGGGTACCGGGGCCCAGCCCTCCCCGACACTGCCCGACCTGGGGAGTCTCTGGGCCTTGGTTTCCCCATCCTGGAGGAGTGGCCCTTGGCCCCCGGCGCTGATGGCCGCCCGCCTTCTCACCTGTAGCCCCTGGCCAAGCGGTGCCGCCTCCAGCCTAGAGATGCCGCCAAGATGCCTGAAAGCGCCTGGAAGTTTCTCTTCTACCTGGGCGCCTGGAGCTACAGTGCCTACCTGCTCTTCGGCACCGACTACCCCTTCTTTCACGACCCGCCCTCCGTCTTCTACGGTAGGGGTCCTGTGGGATGGAGTGGGGGAGGCTCTGCTCTAAACATGGAGAAGGATACATGGAGGAGCCGGACACTCATCAGTCATCCCATGCTGGGTGTCTGCCCCGAGACAAGGGCCGTCAAGGGGCCCTAGAGGCAGAGAAGGGGGCACCTGGCCCTACAAGGGCTCAGGGAGGCATCCTGGAAGAGGTGACCCCTTGTATGGGCCCAGGCGGGCATTCTAGGTGTCAGGAACAGCAAGTGCAAAGGCCCTGGGGCATGCAGGAGCTTGATGCCTGAGGATGAGAGGAGTGTGGCAGGAGTTCGAGTTTCACGCTGAATGGGATAGGTCTATGGATTATAAAAAGCTCTCTCTAGCTGCCGTTTGGGGACAGACAAGTCTTACGTGTGGAGGGCAGCAGGGCCTGGGAGTAGCGGGGGTGATGGGGGTACCTATGTGGCTTGGACCAGCTTGGTGAGGAGATAAAGATGGTGAGAAGTGGCTGCATTGATTGGATTAGATGTGGGGGTCGTCCAGGCCTGAGCTCTAGGGGGACGGACAGGAAGGTGACTGCATTTCCTCTCTCACCAGTGGGTAGGCCGGTATAGAAAACCTGTGTGCGATGGGGGCTCAAGCTTCCCTCCTCCTTTGCTGACCCCCCAGGCCGTGTATCACGTATACACCTGGGCGTGTTTCCTGCTGTGTGACATGAAAAGCCTGAGAGGGCTCCTGATGGCACTGAGCCCAGTGCTCCTGTTGGGGGGCCAGGCACGGAGCCCTGTGTTACAGGGTCCTGGTGAGAAACACTGGATTTACTTGGCACCTGTGTGTCTTCGTGGGAGCGTGTGACCATGCACCCATACGGCCACTTTTCTCACGGAGCACACGGTCGTTTCCCATGTGGTCAGTCCTAGAGGGGAGGTTTTAGCTCGTGCAATTCCCTTTATGCAAATGAACCATAATCGAACTCTGAAAGTTTCGGGCATGGAGTTGCCTCTGGCTTATTCTTATAAATTATGCTACAATAACATGCTTGCAAGTTAGCTGCTTCTTTGCATGTGCACTTATTGAGTACCTACTGCATACCAGGCACTGTGTTGACACAAGCAGTAAGCAGATCAGAGAAAGCCCCCCGCCCCCGTGTTTCAGGGCAACAGGCAGTGAAATACGAAATCTGTTCACAGCGATAACTGCTGATGAGAAAACTTGGGTGGGGAGAGGAGAGGAGAAATGGGCTGTCTGGGAGGTGGGGAGGGCGGTATTTTCTACAGGGATGGGGACAGTCCCACCCAAGGTGACTTTTGAGTGGGGACCGGAAAGAGCCTGGAGCAAACAGGAGATACGAAGGCTGGTGTCAGACAGATGCTCTCCTGGGGGGACCAGGAGCAGCAGTGAGCACACCCGGCCAAGGGAGGGGCCAGGAGGGCGGCCGGGCAGCAAGGGTGTGTGCCAGGGGCTGTGAGCAGAGGAGGGACATGGACAGGACCCTGGCCAATGCAGATGATCTGAGGAGGGGCCAAGGGCAGGGCTGGGACACGAGAGGGCCGTGTAGGGGGCAGAAGTGGCTGATTTGAGAAAAGTTTTGAAGGCAGAGCTGATAGGTTTCATGCCAAACCAGAGATGGGTGTGAGAGAGAGGGAGGGTGGGGATGACGCTAGGGTCTGGGGAGCCAGGAGGCTGGTTTGGGGGAGACCAGAAGCTGGGTATGGGATGTCCAGGAGGCTGATAAAGGAGGTCGGGGACGGGGATGTGGCAGGGGTGCATGGGCATCCAGAGCAGCAGGTGGGACGTGTGTGGAGAGGAGGTTGGAGGTTGGAGGCCCCCCAACGTGTGGGGAGGTGCAGACGCAGTCTGGATGGTGAATCGTGCCCCTCTCTCCCCCCAGCCCAGATCTGGGGCCTGAGGCTGGAGGGGGGCGCTCACCTGCTGTCACAGTCTTGCCAGTGCAATGGGGGAAAAAGATGATGATGTCCTGTTTCCACAGTGGACTTTGTGCCTCAAGGCACCTTTGTGTCCCTTCCTTCTGGGTGCCTCGGGCTGAAGAGGGACAGAGGGACGTGGCAGGTGGCGACTGGGCACCGGCTGCAGAGTTTCCATGTGGTTGAGGACGCAGCTCGGGGTGACAGCCTAGCCGGGAGTGTGAGTTTTGCTGTCGAGCTTTGGGGAGCCCCTGAACGTATTGAAGTGGGGGGGTGAGATCTGATCTCTGAGCAGTTTTCCTTTTTTTATTAGGTGAAATTTACATAATATAAAATTAACCGTTTTAGTCACAAAAAGACGAATACTGCGTGAGTCCACTTACATGAGGTCCCTAGGGGAGTCAGATTCACAGAGACAGAAAGTAGGATGGAGGGTGCTAGGGGTTGGGGGAGGGGGATGGGGAGTGAGCGCTTAACGAGCACAGAGTTTCAGTTTGGGACGATGAACAAGTTCTGGAGGTGGATGGTAGGGATGGCTGCACGCCAATGTGAATGTGCTTAATGCCGCTGAACTTAAAAATGGTTACGATGGTAAAATTTATGTTACCACAATTTTTAAAAATGAACCATTTAAAGTGAACAATTCAGTGGTCTTTAGTACATTCACAATGTTGTGCAACCATCATCTCTATCTAATTCCAGAACATTGTCATTACCTCAAGAGGAGACTCCGTCCCTGTGAGCAGCCACTCCCCATCCTCCTCCCCCAGACCCTGACAACCACTAATACCCTTTTCATCTCTATGGATTTGTCTGTTCTGGATGTTTCATATAAATGGGATCCCACACCGTGTGGCCTTTTGTGTCTGGCTTCTGTCACTCAGCACAATGTTTTCAAGGCTCATCTGTGTTGTAGCATGTCAGAGCTTCATTCCTTTTTGTAGCTGAGTAATATTCCATTGTGTGGATGGACCACATTTTGTTCATCCATTGATGGACATCTGAGTTGTTCCCCTTTTGGTGATCGTGATGAGTGCTGCTGTGAACACACGTGTGTGAGTCCCTGTTTTCACTTCTCTTGGGCACATACCTAGGCGTGGAATTGCTGGGTCACGAGGTCTGGGTATTCATAGCCGTTGAGGCCATCATGGGGAGAGTGGACAGGCAGGAACTGGCTCTGGAGGCTGGAGGACCTGGGGCAGCGCTGGGCGTGAGACGGTGGTGCCTGGACCACGGTGGGTGGCGGGGGCGGGGGGACGTGAGCAGAGGCATGGACCGAAGGAGGGCCCTCGGGTAGGCGTCCAAGTGAATCCTGGTTGTGGGAGGAGCCTGGGCACAGATGAATGGCTGTCACTGAGGTGGGGGCACAGCAGGAGTCTAGGGCTCCAGTGGGACGTGAGGGTCTGCTCCAGGTCCCTGAGGCAGGGGGTGGGGACAGGAGGCCCTGGATGGAGCCCAAGGAAGCTGTTTGGGGGGTGGGCAGAGAGGGAGCCACCAGAGAACAGGGCACAATCCAGAGAGTTCCAGGTCGATGCAGGTAGACCCCTTGGCCGTTGGTGATGGCCTGAGGAGAGGACATGGAGGTGGTGGGGAGAGCCGGGGGGTCAGTGTCACCGGAACGGTGGGCACAGGTGCCAGGAGGAATGGGGAGGCTAGAGGAGGGGAGGGGAGCCAGGGCCTGCTCAGTGGGAGAGCCCACACTCAGCGGCGTCAGCAGGTCAGATTTCCGCCTCAGCTGCTCAGACCATCATGGCGAGGCCAGGGGCAGCCTCCATCAGGTTGCGGATTTGCCGGGAGTGGGCTGCCCAGGACAGGGCATCTGGGCTGGCTCAAAAGAGCCTGAGAAATACGAGAAGATGGGAAGGGGGGCTGGGGCAGAGTTGGAAATCCTGCAAGGGACCGATTTAAGGGGAAGGATCACCTTTTTCTATAAATCTAGAGCTGTTCTAAAAAGTAACGCCTGTTCATAAAGAACAACAGGTAGAGAATTGGGAACAGAAAACCAGCAGCCAGTACACCTACAGAGACGTGGGGTGTGCCCTGGCATGCAGGGGAGTGTGTCTGGCTTGAGGGGGCGTGTGGGGGCACTCAGGGTCCCAGAGGCCCTACAGGTCCCTGGTGGCGCTGGCTGGCTCTCCTCAGACTGGACGCCGGGCATGGCGATACCACGGGACATCGCAGCTGCCTACCTGCTGCAGGGAAGCTTCTACGGCCATTCCATCTATGCCACGCTGTACATGGACGCCTGGCGCAAGGACTCAGTGGTCATGCTCGTCCACCACGTGGTCACCCTGGTCCTCATCGCCTCCTCCTACGCCTTCCGGTGAGTCCAGGAGGGCAGAGGGCACTGCGTGGGCACTGGGTCGAGGCTGGCATGGGGCAGAGGCTAATGCCTGGGAGGCGATGGGGATGTCCATGGAGGAGGGTTCCAGAGACAGAGACTCGGAAGGGATGGGTGAAACAGGTGCAGAGTCACCACCCCGCCCCTGGCCCACCCACTCCCTCCACCTTGCCTGGATGGCACCCTCAGCCAGGTCACATAGCAGGTGCTGCTGGCGGCACAGCCCTGAACACAACAGACAAACCCTGTTGTTCTAGAGGCCACTGTGGTCATCACATGTGGCCACTGAGCACTTTGGACAGAGCCTGTCCAAACCACGACCTGCTGTATGTGTGAAATCCACCCCAATTCCAAAGGCAAAGGAAAGTGAAAATATCTCGCCAATCCTATTGTTATATCAATTACATGTGGAAATGACAATATTTTGGATTTACTGAGTTAATTACAATACATTATTAAAATTAATTTTATCTCTCCTGTTTTTTAATGTGGCCGATGGACAAGCTTTTATAAAATGACATAAACAGCTCGCGTGCTATTCCTATGGGACTAGCTGCTCTGTCGCACTCTCCAGTACAGTGGCTGCTGGCCACAGGTGGCTATTGCAACTTTAGTGAGACTTAAATAAAATCACACATTCTGTTCCTCAGCCACACTAGCCACATTTCAGCTGCTCAGTGGCCACAGGTGCCTGGTGGCTCCCATATTAGACAGCACAGGTTTAGAACATTCCCATCACTCTAGAAAATTTTGTTAGCACTGCTCTAGAGGGTAGAATCAGATGATAAAACCAAAAAAAAAACAAGGGAATGAAAGAAAAGAACTAGCAATGTGTTTGAAAGTGATAACTATAGAGAATAATCACATGGGAAGATGAGCACTGGCGAGGTGGTGAAGTTTAGATGGGGTGGTCTGGGTGACAGGGGAGCACAGACTGAAAGGAGGTGAAGAAAGGCTTTGTGAACACCGGGGAGGCGCATGCTGGGGGATGGGAACAGCACGTGCAAAGGGCCTGAGGCAGGAGTGTGAGCTGAGGGCAGAGTGGGGATGGAGACATGGTGAGAGAGGTGCCCAGCCACGTCCAGGCTGAATTCAGGCCCCTTGGCCCAAGCAGCTGTAAGGTGGAACACTGGTGAGGGACAGGGAGCGGCCTTCAGGCTCTTTAGATCCTAGTGGGGACTCGGCCTTTCCTAGGCAAGTTTGCAGCTTGCAGCCACGTTTAGGTTAAATGTATAAACCTGGGACTCTCAGCATGGCAGTGGCGTTCAAAGCGAGGGATGAGTTGGTGGGAGATCTGGACATAGAATGGTCCAGGCCTGTGAGGTCCAGAGGTCATGGAGGGTCAGAGGTCACGGAGATGAGGAGGGACCAGACTAGGCACTTCCAGCGAGGCTCCTAGGTCATCGGGGGACAGTGAGATGGGGAGGGTGAGGGTCCCGGTGGGGCTGTCATGGGTCAGGTACAGCCCGGGTGCTGCCCCTGACTTGGCATGGTGGGCGGATGGGCAGGGTGGGTGGGCCAGGGAGGATGGCTCTGAAGGGGCCCATGGGAAGCCTGGAGGTGCAGCCAAGGGGGCCTGTGCTCGAGAGCCTCAGTGCGGGGCGGGGGTCCCCAGTGTAACCTGCCTTCTCTTCTCTCCCACTGCACTGCCCAGGTACCACAATGTGGGCATCCTTGTGCTCTTCCTACATGACATCAGCGACGTGCAGCTGGAGTTCACCAAGCTCAATGTCTACTTCAAGTCTCGCGGAGGCTCCCACCACCGGCTGCACGCTCTGGCGGCCGACCTGGGTTGCCTCAGCTTCAGCCTCAGCTGGTGAGAGGGCAGGGAAGGAGGCAGGGCTTGTGGGGAGGGGTGGGGCCAGGCTGGAAGGAGGCAGGGCTTGTGGGGAGGGGTGGGGCCAGGCTGGAAGGAGGCAGGGCTTGTGGGAGGGGTGGGGTCAGGCTGGAAGGAGGCAC